TGCATACCTTGTCCGAAAATTCAGCTCGTTTTATATCTGTTTAATCATTAGGATTTACATAATATATGCTCACTGATGAATATGGTACAAACGATATCGATAGTTAACCACTTCTGTTGACTATGCTGCAATGTTACATCATAAATCATTAAAACTTTATTCTTATTACTTAAATTCAATTTTGGAACTAATGAAGTAATAAAGCCACACAGATGATTAAACTTTATCAGAGCTCACTAATTGTGTTTCATAGTGAACTAAATTTCAAATGGGACAGTAAAGTACTTTGTATTCTAGAATGATTTTATTGCTTAGTAATTCTGTATAAAATTAGTTACACAAGTAATACAAATTCATATTCATATCTAATAAACTAAATAGGTTTCATTAACTTATTCTCTTACTTAAAGAATAATTCTGTTTTCTTAAATAAAATCATTAGTGGCGACGGTAAATAACGCGACGATGGGTTTTATAACGGTAACCATCATCAGACAAAACATGAGCTGGGGTAGCTTCAACAATGGCTGGAGCTGATGCCGCCTGTTGAGCAGGTGGCAAGTATTCATTTGATGGTACAGCAACTGGTGCTTCCTGAACTGGTGGCAAGTATTCGTTGTCGGGCAAGTGGCTCACATCGCGACGATTGCGACGATATACAACACGACGGTGTACCTTATAACGGTAACCATCATCAGACAAAACGTGAGATGGAACGACTTCCACTGCCACTGGTGCTGGAGCTGGAGCCGTCTGTTGAGCAGGTGGCAAGTATTCATTTGATGGTACAGCAACTGATGCTTTCTGAATTGGTGGCAAGTATTCGTTGTCGGGCAAATGGCTCACATCGCGACGATTGCGACGATATACAACACGACGGTGTACCTTATAACGGTAACCATCATCAGACAAAACGTGAGATGGAACGACTTCCACTGCCACTGGTGCTGGAGCTGGAGCCGCCTGTTGAGCAGGTGGCAAGTATTCATTTAATGGTACAGCAACTGATGCTTTCTGAATTGGTGGCAAGTATTCGTTGTCGGGCAAATGGCTCACATCTCGACGATTGCGACGATATACAACACGACGGTGTACCTTATAACGGTAACCATCATCAGACAAAACGTGAGATGGAACGACTTCTACTGGCACTGATGCTGGAGCTGGAGCCGCCTGTTGAGCAGGTGGCAAGTATTCATTTGATGGTACAGCAAATGGTTCTTTCTGAACTGGTGGCAAGTATTCGTTGGATGGCAAATGGCTCACATCGCGACGATTGCGACGATATACAACTCGACGGTGTGTCTTATAACGGTAGCCATCATCGGCCAAAACATGAGCTGGAGCAGCTTCAACTGGAGGTGTTGCGTAAGCTGGAGCAGGAAAAGCAACATCTGGGATCAAGTTGGAGACATGAGCTTCAACTGGTGCTACATTTTGAACAGGTGGCAAATACTCATTTGAAGGCAAATGACTGATATCAGCAGTCACAGCTGCGATGAATGCGAAAACAACGATTAAAAGTTTCTAGATAGTAGAAAAAGTTTCCAACCAAATAATTTGTAAATATCAAGGAGCTAGGCAAAGTACTTAAAAACAAAAGTCAAACAATCTTACCATCTTCTTAGAATGTTAGCAACTAAACAGTAATGAAGCCACAACTCTAATGAAGAACAAATAAGATTTTAAGTTATTTATATATAAAGCGATTGTGTTACATGATGTTGGTCGCTGACATGTAAATTGGCTCTGGCCATAACCACTTTTATCGTTTCTCTTTACATACTTTTTCGCCAAATTATTTTTCCCTTTTTGGTTTTTTTTTTCTTTTTTCATTATCTTTACAAACAATCTCAGCATTTTACGCACAAGTGACACGTACCAACAAAACCTTTTATAATACAAACAATCATACATACATATATATCAAGTCCTAATATTGTGATTCTCGTTTATTTATGTAAATAGTGTGACTCTACAAAAAGAACATATAAAACCTAAGCAAATATTAACGCTACGCAACCTTAAAATCGTTGCCGAGTTATTGGAATTGCTTTTCGAAGCAAAGTCATAATGGGTTTAAGCCAAGTATGAGAAAGTATATATGATGGTCACTCAGATTTAAGTCTTCTAGGTCTTATGTACCTTAAATATTGGTTATTTAAATTTTATGAAATGATAAGAGAGTGTTTAAGCTCACCAGATAATGTTGTAATCCACTTCAAGGGGATAAGGTGTCACAATTTAGTAAAATTTTAGCGTTCCCATCGATAGTGGTCTACTCATATATTCATACCTTGAAAACTTCACTTTTCTTACATAAATTAGCTTTTTGGGCTTTGTTATATCTTTAACCGTGGATGAAATGTTTAAAAGTTGATAGGGCACCAAGTTACATATGTCAGTTTTACATCTCTAATGTGCTTCTTTGTTAATTAGCTAGGAATAAACAATATATTATCCATTATTATTATTATCATTCTATACTGAGATTTACGATATCTATATTTATTTTTAAAATATTATATTTCTATATATTTACAATATTTCTAGACAACTCTTTACATATTGTTAGTTCGAGGTGGTACAATTTCATTGAATTTGAATTTTTTAATAAAGATTCCACTTTAAAAAACGATCACGGGCTTACATAAATATTTGAAAACAGTTTTGTTGAAAACATGAAGAAATATTTCTTCTATTCTTTTGTAAACTTTTCAGTCCTCAAATCGGGCATATATATACACACATGTGCATACATATGTACGTGCTAATAATGCTTATGCTAATTAGTGAATGTCTTTTAAGAACAGCGCTGATCATAAATATTAACAAATCCACACAAATTCTCTATAAATAAAGCACTATACTTACTATCGAAGTAGCTAAATAAGGTGACCGTTTGCCACTTTGTTGGCCATCGGCTATAAAATCAACTAACCGATAGATATATACACTAATACAATTAGATACTCTCAAATTAATCTTCATATTTATCTACGTATACATAGTTCTAACATACCTCTCCACTACCCTTTAGAACCCGAATTTGTCGAGAATCGAGGAGATCATTAGTACTTGTCGTTTGCATAATCCCAAAAACGCGTCTCAATGTCTGCATGTTATTTAATTTTGTATATTTAATAACACCCTTTCCCCTCTATGCTTGATATTTCCTTTTGTTTTGTTAAAATTTATGTAAATGAAATTCTAATTCGCTTTACTTTTTTGCAACTGTTAGACAATCACCTCTTCTCTATATTTAATATCTTGTATACATGTGTATATACAAATAAACAAAGAAATTAATTTTTATACCCTGAACAGGGTATATTAAGTTTGCCACGAAGTTTGTTACACTCAGAAGGAAACGTCGGAGACCTTATAAAATATATATTATATATAAATGATCAGCATGATGAGCTGAGTTGATGTCTGTCTATCTGTCCGTCCGTCTGTATATACGCAAACTAGTCCCTCAGTTTTTAAGCTGTCGACCTGAAATTTTGCACCTGTCTTTTCCTTACTAAGCTGCTCATTTGTCGGAATGGCCGATTTCCGACCACTATATCATATATCTGCCATACAAACTGAACAATCGGAATCAAGTACTTGTATGGGAAACTTTTTTATTTGTCGTAATATTTCATAAAATTTGGTATAAGTTATTTTCTAAGCCAACAATGTAATCTCCGAAGAAATTGTTTAGATCGGACGACTTTAGCAAATAGCTGCCATATTAACTGAACGGTCGAAGTAAAGTGCTTGCATGAGAAACTTTTTTCATTTGACGAGGTATCTTCACGGAATTCGGCACGAGTTATTATATAAGGCAACAATGTTTTGTTTGAAGAAATTTTTAAGATCAGATCACTATATCATATAGCTGCCATACAAATTCAACGATCGGAATCAAGTTCTTGTAGGGAACCTGTATTTGTGAAGGGTATTATAGCTTCGGTGCAAACGTTTTCATTTTACGAAGCCACGATAGCTCGTTCACCCAATCGATTAGTGCCAACTTCAGATTTTATATGTATCAAAGAATTATTAATTAAGGCAAACAGGTTCTCCATTCTTTTACTGAATTGAACTAAGTGAAATGGTCCATTTGTGTAGAGAGAACTAGTCTTCGAAGCTAGTAATGACTTATCAAGTTGGATATAGTATTTTTAAAAAGCATTGTTGAAGATGACTTGTGCACACGCGATATAAAGATTTATGAAGATAGAACGCGCGCTTATATTAGTACTGCTTACTTTTAAATAAGTTAGTCAAAATCAAAACCCTAATAATTGATTCATGACTATGCTTTAAAGTATGAAAAACTCGATAAGTCTGATTTCAATATCTCTGTTGAACATGCTTGGAAGGGTAGATTAAAATTAAATTAAAAGATGGTTTGTTGCTTAGAATTAATTAAAAACTCCAGAAGCTTCCGTCGGTCTTAGAAACTTGTGAATTTCCTTGGATACAAATATGAATGAAATTCCATTGCTTAGAGTCACTGTAAAGAGCTTTACTTTATTAAACTTTTGAAACGGGTTACATATGTATCGACTAATGACTGTTTGTGATATGTAAAACGAATCGAGAAAAATCTAGAGTTACATATTATAAATGATCAATACTTATAGAAATGATTAAGATTACGAAAATAATTGACTTACAGTTGTTTGTGTGTTCAATATTTGGATGACACTTAGTACAGCGACCGAATATTTTTTATAGATTGAGTGTTTGTAAATGGATGAGCTCTGAATGCAACCTACTACCTTTGTAATAGAAAAGGCACGATAGATAAATCAATGTGATAAATTTATGTAAAAATTATCTGGCTACTTGCGACTGAGTTTCAACGAAAATATCGGAAATTTTCTGAGTTATTTATTTTCTTCCAAACGACATTGTAGTGTTTGATGCGAAAAATTGATACAACTTTACAAATCTTTAGCTTGCTCTCAACTCAATATCACATAGTATTCAAAGCAGTTTCGTGTATAGGTTTTCTGGATTTCCTCGAGGCCTATAAACGCAATATAATCGTTTTCGACCTTCGCATTGACTTTACACGGCATGAGAGAAACTGCGACTGTATATGTGTATATAATACCATTCATAATAATAAATCGTTTCGAGCAAGGATATTTGTCTTAGGGACTGTGCCGCTAGCTCGACATGTTATTTCGTTGCTGTCTCGACAACGACTGAATGATAGAGCGTAATGCATTAAACACATTGGAAACAGCAGGCGACAGCCAGCATCTGTCAAATATTAAAATACACACGTTCTTATGGGCACAGCTATTTAGACAACAGTACTTGCACAGTTGTCGCTGTCGCCAAATTAAATAAATATGTAAAATGAAAATTATTTCAAACTCTAACAAGTCTAACGATTTTATCAACAGAAGCAGAAAATAGGTCTAATATATCATTTGTAATAACAATTGATCATTAAAACAAATGAATCGACATACTATTTACTTATCTTATCAACAAAAAATATCACTTTGAACAAAATATTTAAATTTCATTGAAGTTAAAGGTTTTAGTACGGTAACAAAGAAATTGTGTACATCATTTTCAGACAGAGAAATTTTGCTGTCACTACGTCGTGAAGCACAGTCGTCTAGTTGTTTAGAGCACAAGTGAACGTGTGAAATCAGCTACCACATTTAATATATATATAATGTTCGGCTGTATTGAACTTGCATACTTATTTTTCAATTAGGGCCAATGTTTGACAAGACATAATTTTATATAGTAATTATATTCACCCGAATTAAATTCATCTGTCGGATGATAATTTACAAATCTAGGAGTTATTAAATAGTTGAAGAATAAGCTTAGCGTTAGTTTTCTTCGCCGGAAACAATAAATAGGGGAAGTTAACTACAAAAAAAAACCTAAAAATTTTGGATGGAAATATGTCTGTATAAGAATTGAATAGGACGAAAAAAATTAAAAGCTCATGCTGTTGAAAGTTGAATATACTGATTGCGTTAATATATTTTGTTCAATGCGTAGATGTGTATGACTTATATCAAACACGTTTAAATTCAAAACAATCGGAAACAGAAGTGAAATCAAATTAATAGTATATTTTTCAGCCTAAAAGTATGTTTATTGCATATGTTATTTTTCTGTTTGTTTAAAATTGTATATGTGTGTAAGCATATGACGAACATTTTTTTACCAATGCTAATCAGCCAAAACAAAAAGATCAATAAAAGAAATTATCCCTCGGCCGATCGTAATGGTAACCATCGTCTTGTAAATCCGAACTCAGATTTACTTGGGTCGTGTCAGAAGTGCGTATAACTTTCACCGAGTATATACCTTTATCAGTCTTCTGCATTGGTTCGTCTATTACAGGCTCCAATATTTCGTCGACGTCACTGAGTTCAGTGCTTATATCATTTAAAAGAGGAAAACTGTTAGCCACATTTAACTTAGACCCCGGAGAGTTCACATTAACTTGTGTGTGAAAAATGGATTCTGGCGCATTTGAATAAGTTTGGAATCGTTTGTCTGACCGATTACTTATATATGATTTATAATTAACAACGATATTAGGTGGAAAAAATGTTGATTCGGCATCCTCGTCTTTCAATATATTCATTTCTTCATGTTGGTGATAATGCAGTTGAGAATCAATAATATCTAAAGGCTTTGAAGCAATATAATACACTTTCTGATTGCTTAAAGAATTGAATTGAACCGCACTCAGATTGCCATTATAATATCTGTGTTCATTTCGTTTATAATGATGATTGTAGTTATAAATGTTCTGATCATACATATAATTATTATAATCAAACTTATTGGCATAACTACGTAAGTATTCCCCTGATTCGTTGTCATCTTTTTGAATCCTGTTCTTATGTTCATCATAATCTCTGTTAGATAGATTCTGCTTGTTGGAATGGAATGGAATATTAATATAATTCATATTGTCATCTTTTATCTGATTTTTTTCCTCTTTAATTTCGTTTGGAATCAAATAAATGTGCTCACTGACGGATTCTTCCAAAGGAACCACATCCCCATAAACAAATATACAACAAAGTATCAAACTTTGGAGATTAAAAATTACCTAATTGGAAGAATCTTTAATATAATATAGTATATGTATGTTGAAAAGAGTGTTTATTATATACGTACCATTTTGACCAATACACTTTGTATGAATGAATTTAGCGGTCTAGTAGTCTTCGTCTGAGTTGATACAGTTTATATAAAGCAATATAAAAATAATCAAACTAAACTAAGATACGAACTTCCAATTATAAAATACTTAATTTTATCTTTCGTTTGCTATTAATAACGTACATTGTTTTCCCTTAAAACAATGCTGCAATAAAAGCGTACTAATAAATAAATATATCCGGATTTACGTTTGTTTCAAAAATCGCTCAGATACTAGCAATAACTCTCATTAACACGCGTCGTAATTAGTTGCATTCAAAGCATTTACCACAATTCAAAAGCATTCCGATTGAGAATTGATTAGAAATTTGTTTATTTTTACCAGCATTAAAAAATCGATGGCATATACAGGTACAAATATATAAATTTTAAATAATCTGCATTGCAAGTATTCCAAGTTTGTTTATCTACAAATCGTTATGTTTGATGCAGCATTTATACTATTATTTCAAAATAATAAAATAATATATGTACTCGTACTAGATGGTATACTATACGTACGTATAGTTTTTGATTAAACAAAAATATCACGAAATTTTTAATTTTGTTTCCTTTTTTAATAACCAAAATTTATAATATTTTTTCATTATACTAATAATATTTTATTTAGTCAATTGAATTAAATAAATGCCCACAGAACAAACACAAAAACTTACATTTATAGGTTTTCTTGAAAAAGCTTAATATATAATATATACAAATTATAAATAACTGCTAGTGAAGGGCATTATATATTATACAGATTGTTACGCTTTTTGATGAAAAACAGATCTACACACTGTATTCAAACTTGATATTAGTATGTTTATTAGAAGCATTGTTTTAATAAAAATTTGATAAGGAATCAAATTCTGCAGAATTGCGGGAAAAAAGCTGTGGGTGAGACCGTGTTGTATGCCCTCTTTTTATATACTTATGTGGAAAACAAGATCAGTAAGATTTAACCCCAATTTGTGATCAACAAAAATAATGTCAAGAATTTGATGAAGCAGTTTCTTTGAATGAGAGTGATACTGAATACAATTCCACCGTTTCTTCTATTTGCTAGTTGACGTCGAAACACCAAGCGAAACTAAATCTTTTTCTATTTATGTGTATTCAATTTAAACAAAGTTGTAATTAACTCCAGTCAGGTCTTTAAGGAAGGCTTTCATTATTGACTTGGATTTGTTGAAAGTATATATGCAATGCACCCTTCTGCAAGTTCTGGTTCGCGGAGAGTGCTTTTAAGTCTCAATCGGTAGGCATGCTTTTATTTGATATTAGTATGCATAAAATACACATTTGCAATCTTCCTTTTGGGAATTTGAATAGCTTAGCACTTTAAATAATTGTTTGCATAAGTATAATAAAATAAAAATATTAATATCTATTATTGTTTATAGGCATATTATTGTTTTTTCGCTTCAAGTGAACCAATTTGTTATTTTTTACTGCTCAGTAAAATTCACAACAGTTGTCAAACATGTTTATTAATAAATATAATCGTTTTATTCTATATTATTGTAAGCTAAATATATATTTGTAATAGTATGTGGTACTCCCAACTTTTTGATAAACTCGTTAGGCAGAATTAAGTAACATGTTTGCATTCACATAAGGGTTAAACCAATTTCAGTGTATGATTCCATCTGATTTTCGTAAATTCAACCACAACTGCTTTAATGCAAGCAGGAATTTCACGTCTCACTACTGAATAAAAATTAAATTATGCTCAAAAATAGGAATCCCATAAAAAACCTGTTCCCATCTTGTTGTCATCAAAAGCAAATCAAGGCATGGTGAATTATCATATGGTACATATCATCGTATTTCTTAAAAGTGAAGATTGCATAAATATCTTCTATAAAAGGAATGAATTGTAAAAATATTTTCAATAAAAACATGAATACATAGTAGTAGTATTATAAATTACTTTAAAATATACGTTTCTCCTTTTCTCGCTTTCTGCTAACTATTGCGAATTATTTGAATATGTTCTTACTCTTCTGACCGTCACTGAGAAATATTCAACACAGATATATATAATATTTTAATTTAGTTATTTTTTACTAAATCATATGTGTATATATCTACAAAGTAAATAATATGTTTCTCTTTCTGACATATGGTAATGAAATAACGTCTCACAACTATAACAAAGCATCATCAACGGTCACATTAAATTTTAATTAAAATCAGAACGAAGATGGAACAAAAAAAGGAATACAAAACCACAAACTTTTTTGGCTAATTTAATCACCCAAAATATATCATTTAAGAATTTTATTTTGGGTGTCGGCTGCGAAGCCGGTTAGATTGGTTCTTTCCAAAACCTCTCTCTTATTAACTGGCAGAACATGTTGCTCATCTATAAAATTGCCATAACAAAAATTAATATTAGTGTATTTGGTGACGGTGAGGAGTTCCCGCCAGCCAACAAACCATCGCAGTCCTTACCATAGTAGTGAGTTTGCTCTGATATAAATAATTTCCACATCTGAATGTTAAACACAGTCAGTCGTCTACATTCATCGTGTGGATTAGAATTAGACAAGAAAGAATGGTAAGTATTGTGCCACATTGATGTAAGATATTAACGATAAAAAACTTTTTATACTTATGTAAATTAAACTAAAATAAATGTATGTGCTATCTTTGCAGAGATTACTATTAGCCTTTACTTTGGTGGCGGCTGTCACAGCTGATGTTTCCCACCTTTTTTCGCATAGCGATAACCTTCAGGATGATGGATACCACTACAATAAACCAAACGGTGGAGCAATTGTAGATATCCCGGCTTCCCATAAACATGCTGCTTCAGGTCCATCTCAATCATATTCAGGAGCCTCAGGCCATCAAGGTGCTGCATCTTATCACTCTAGCTCATTTCCTGCTACCTCATATGAATCGGTTGGGTCTAGCGGCGCTTCTTATCAAGCAGCTTCAGCTCCCGCTGCTGTTTACTCAAGTGGCTCATCTTACCAATCGGCATCAGCTCCTGCTGCATCTGGATCATATTCGGGTAGCTCTACTTACTACGCAGGCTCAGAATCAGCACCAGTATCTTCTTACTCAAGTGGCCCCTCCTATCAAGCATCTTCAGGCACAAAACATGGTTCTAACTACCAAGCTGCCTCAGCTCCAGCAGCTTCTTATTCTCATAGTTCGTCTTATCAAACCGCCTCAGCACCTGCTTTATCCTATTCTACTGGTTCTACTCAACATGAAGCTCCATCTGCTTACCAAGCAGCATCGTCTTATCAAGCAGTTTCAGCACCCGCAACTTCTTATTCACATGTTGGATCTCACCAAGCGGCTTCTTCACATCATGCCGCTTCAAATGGGCCATCTTATCAATCTGCCTCTGCTCCCTCCGTTTCTTATTCACCTGGCGCGAGTCATCAAGCCGCATCAGCTCCAGCTGCATCTTATTCCGGCAGTTCATCCAACCGAGTTGCTTCAAATCTTGGTGGTGCTGGTTCTTTTACCAGTTTGTCTTCTTCTGTTTCAGCTTCGTCCCGTTTAGGTTCTGGCGCAAAAGATGAAAGTGGATACCACTATGACGCTCCAAAAACTCCATTTGAAAGTCGACCGGAACCTGTAAAAGAATATTTACCACCACCAGCACCAAAAAGGCCTCCACCACCACCTCCGCCAGCACCTAAACGCCCACCCCCACCTCCACCAACACCCAAACGTCCACCCCCACCATCTCCACCAAAAGAATATCTACCACCCGCACCAACCAATAAACCAGCTCCCCCCGCGCGCCCTGCACCACCTCCACCACCAGCTCCAAAACGTCCACCCCCCTCACCACCAAAAGAGTATCTTCCTCCACCACCAACAAATAAACCAGCACCGCCAGCGCGTCCTCCACCACCACCATCACCACCAAAAGAATATCTTCCACCATCTTCCGGACCAAAAGGATACACATATCCTAATGATCCACAACCACCTTTCACTTCCTAAGCAAAATCGATACGAATAGCTAACGAGACTCTATCTAGTATTAGTCAACTATAATAGATATTTTTTGTTAATGAAAAGATTTCCTTCTATATCTTTTCTCTGCACAGCCCTAAGAAGCCGATTACATTTTAAATCAATAAAGTTTCTAAATTTAAAATTATTGTCCAATGCTTCAAATTGCATCCAGTATATTTATTAACATATGTACATAAGTATGTGTATGTAATTCACATTATAATATTTAAACGAGCTATGGCAGAAGGCATAAACGGGTATTGAGTTTAAATCTGGGTAGACGCACTCAGTTATAAGAAATTAGTCAGTTGTTTTTGTTGTTTTAGGAAGACCTATGGGGTAAACACAAGAAAAACACAACAACAAATAAAATGAATGTAATAAGAACAAGAAGGAAGGCTAAGTTCAGGTGTAACAGAAAATTATATACTCTTCCAATTTTCAAAGATCAAAGCCGGGGAGTATTTTAAGGTGTTAGCAAAACTTTATATTAAACAAGTATGGAAGGACTAAGTTCGGATGTAACTGAACAAATTACCTATACTCTCGTCAAATAAAATTAATGTATTATAAGCATAATGTTAGCAAAACTTTATATTAAACAAATATGGAAGGGCTAAGTTCGGATGTAACTGAACATTTTACCTATACTCTCGTTATTTAAAAAGTCTACGGCAGGGAAGAACTTTCAGATGTTGGCGAAACTTCCCAATAAACAAAAAAAAGCGTTAATTTTAGTTTCACCGAAGCTATAATACTATTCACAAATACAAAAGATTCTTAACAAGAACATGATTCCGTTGGTTTGGTTTGTATGGCAGCTGTACGCTATAGTTATTTGATCTGAACAATTTCTTCGGAGATTGAATTATTGCTTTAGATAATAATCCATACCAAATTACGTGAAGATATCTCGTGAAATGAAAAAGTTTTCCTACAAGTACTTGATTCCGATCGTTCAGTTTGTATGGCAGGTATATGCTATAATGGCACGATATCGTCGGTTCCGACAAATGAGCAGCTTCGTGGGAGGAAAAGAACGTGTACAAAATTTCAGTATGATATCTCAAAAACTGAAGGAGTAGTTCGCGTATATACAGACAGACGAACATGGCTAAATCGACTCAGCTCATCATGCTGATCAGTTAGATTTTTACATTTGACAGGGAATCAATATGCATTATTCGAAGAAACCAAATGCATTTCAATCAAATTTGGTATCTTATTAACTTATGTTTGTATATTATAGGTCGTAGACTTACTTAATTTATATTTTAAAAAATAAAATGTCCGAAATTTGTCACTGTAGGAATCAAAACTATAGAACAAACGGTCATCAGTTTGAAATTTTTTGAAAAGTTGGGCGTGGTCTCACTCTCTAATAGGTTAAATGTTACTCAGGACTAATATTTGGCACCCTATCGACAGTGTGAAAATGCCCACTCACCATATAACGGTTTTGATTAAAACTACTAAAGGTACGATAACTCATTAAATAAACAAGTCAGAGACGTTTAATTTTACACATATTTACAGATTTATAGGAACCAAAACAAAAAATGGACAATGGGCGTGACACCGTTGACCTCTAGGGGAAAATCAATATATCGGGACCTGCTCGACCGATTTTAACCAAATTGGGTATGTAATGTTCTTGTAACATTCCTATATTATAGTGGGCGAAATCGGACTAAAACCACGGCTGCTTCCCATATAACACAATTTTAAATTCCATCTGATTCTCTCACTTCTATTATACTGTTTAAATATGAGCATGTGCATTGGTACCAAGGAACGTTACTTAGTCGGTGCGCCGCAGCATAAGTAATATTTATTAGTTTAAGTGTTAGTAAAAACATTTGTATAATCTTAACTATTATAAAAATGTTTCCTTAGTCTATATTATTAAATTCAACCGCCACTTTTTGCCCCTCTGTGTTATTCTTGTGTTTGTCTTGCTTATAAGGTATATATCTGCGTGTGTACTTGTATGTTTGTATGGACATGCAAGTTCTTGTTCGTCATGCTGATATGTGCTGATATGTTTTAATATTATAGTAATAAGTATATAGTATAGTATAATTTCATTAAGCGTTTGTTTTATGCGTACCTATGTATTTACATTCATATGTATATATAGGTACATCCTATAAATGTAAACTTTTACGCATATTTTTTTTGGATATGTGGTGTACAGAAAAAGGTTAGATTAAAATCTGATGGTTAAGAAATATTGTTAATAAAATACCCATTAAATGTGGAAAAAGAGCAACAGAAGAGGTTTGCGCAAAATGAATACATACAGTTAAGTCGACAATTAACTGCTCAGATCATCTGATAACTGGCCAAAGAAAATTACCTGGCAAAAAAAGTCCTTTCTATTAAAATCAATTCTTGAATTAGCTTAATAATATTAGAACATTTTTTTATTTATCAACATAAACTATTTTAAATAAATTAAAATTCGTTATCATTACATTTATTTCTTATATATTTTGTTGTTTTAATAAATAAATAAACTAGTCAAAAGCAAAACAAAAGATTTTGTGTTGTTTACAAAATATTTTTGAATGGGGGGCGGCGTCGGTAGTGGGAGATTAGTGGTAATATTTTTTTTTATTACTTATTATAATTAGCAAATATAAACCTAAGAAAAAAAGTTCACTTTGATATTGGCAGTAAAAGTATTTTTAACCGCTGATTCCTTACAAGACCGACCACTGTTTGTATTTATTATTACATTCGTTGCCTTTTAGACAATACTCTTATAACAATCTTATTATCTTTCAATTTGCCCCTTCCCTCATCCCAATGTCTAAGGTGGTACCGAAATGATTCCTCATCACCAAGTTTGATAGCTGCAGTTCTAGTTGTTTGTGAGACATGTAAAAATATTGTACATTAAACCTATTAGCGGTTTATCCACTTTCAGTCCATCTGGTGCCTCTCTCTACTGTGAGCCCCTGTACCAAATACCAGTTTTGTATATTAATTTTGACTTTAGTTATAACACTTTAAAAATTGTCGATTAACGGAGTTTTGTGGGCGTGACAATATATACCACAATTCAATACCAACCTCCTTTGGTGTTACAAACAACCGTTAGGTGAACAAAACTATTATACCATCTGTTGGAATATTTTGCGAGGTTAAGTTATGGTGTTCATAACTCCACTTTCTTACGTGCATTTATTCTATACTTATGAGTTTTAACCTGGAATCCAGAAGTTGTAAACTATTAATGTGCATATTTAGTTACATAAGTTAATCACATTTATAGCATTGCTGGTGTTAACGTACATTTCCAGCAAGAGTACAGATTTATTCTCTTCGATCTTCTTTTTAATTCGTCAGTTTCGTCTCTTTGTATTTATTACTACATTCGTTGCCTTTTAGATAATACTCTTATTATACCTTCCAATTTGGCCCTTCCAATGCTTCCATTACCTTTGTAGCTCCGGTACATGATCTTATAAAAATCTGCGTGTTTTTCGCTTGGCTTCACACCTTTGCAGTACCTAAACGGAAACAAAACAGTTGTGTATTGGCTCTTTAATTCAGAGTTGCAGGCAAAAGGTACATAGTTCTTTGAGAGTAGTAAATGAGGTTATATGAAACAGCGTAATGTAATATAAATTGTATATGCTATAAAAACATATCCTCGTTTTTTTCCACTTGAGTGACTTTTTGCTTAAACATATAGCATATACAAAAATATATATATCATATGAAACATGTTATGTTAGTGGTGTTGAAAAGTGAAATAGTGTGAATATTAACGTCTATAGGCAAAGGAATAAAAAAGCAGCAAAGCGTAACCTCACACTGAGAGCGATTTGCAACTAAACATAAATAAATGTTAAAACATCCCAAAATATTTCAAATATATTTGATTTCTGTACAAAAAATAATTTGAGCAGTGCAATAGTGTTAAACTTAGCGGAAATCTTGTCAAATTAATAAATAAATCACAGGGTACGCTGTGTTTCTCGATTAATATAAAATTAATATAAAATTATGTATATATACATAGGTAAATTTGAATGTTGACCAGCTTTATAAGACAAAATAATTGATTAAGAAACAAATGTCAAACACCTAATATTAAAGTGAAATTTGCGTCAAAAAAATATTTTTATTTAGCTTAAAGTATTTCTTTTATATTTAGTGATCGGAAAAATCCTCTAACCAAGGTGTAAAATATTATCTACATATTATATATTATATAAAAATTACGTGTCACGTTTTTGTACGGGACAAACTCCTTAACTACAGAACCGATTTTAGTAAAATTTAATTCAATTATGTTGAAATTTAAAATAACAAAAATATATATTTCTAATGTAAGTATTTGTTAAAAACTCAAAAAAAGTATTATTGTTATAATTTTGAGTAAAATGTCAAATGGATTAAATAATGAATCCATTCTATTGACAAATATTTGTATCCATCATTTTCAAAATTAAACCAAAAGTAAAATCCCTTGAATTCTTATCAGCCTTTCGCCTTTATTCGCAAATAATATTTTCACCTTTTGAATATTTTATTATAATAGTATTTAATGTATACCATAGCCACAGCAACGCGTGGGCGGATCTACTAGTGTAATATATAAATATAATGTAGTTTCTATTGCGTTGAATAACTCGAACCAAATAAAAGTCAAATGCTTGTTCTAGCTATTATGTATAAATAAGTTATGTACATATATATTTAAATATTTCTAAAATCATTTAAGATTACTCAAAATGCCTTAATAAATGACCAAATTTATTTGAATTTATGTCATATACATATTTGTCATATTGCGCGTAATTGTGTTTATGCTATTGTAAATCGTTATAAAATTTCACTAGTTCCTTCTTAGAACTATAAGATTTATTACTGATAAATTTAAAATATTTTTAAACTGTAAATAGTTCATCAGCAAAACTATTGAAACACGCAACAGTGATGCTAACGGTTTATGTTCTGCGGTTGTGAGGCACTACAAACCATGGTCATTAGACCATGAAGAAATGTTACTTAACTCAAGGTCAGGAAACTTGAAAGCTAGTTAGTTTTAATAGCAAGTTTCTTTACCATTCATGCTAAGTATGTGAAATATACATATATATATATACATATGTACGTAATGGGTGTAGTTAACGTTAATATCTGAGTATAGTTTTTCTTGACCTCAAAGAAAAATTATCAAAATGATTAATGAAATTACTTAGCCATGGTGCGAAGATATAATTTGATTATCAATCGTCCACATCTATTTAAGTTAATCAACGTGCCTCGAAAGATTTATTGTAAATATAATATAGACCAAATGTTGTGAACATTCGTTGGGATCGTTCAGACTTCCCCCAGCCTCCAGTTATCAAATACTTAGAATTTATAACCATTTTGTTCTTTACGTATATATTTTAACAAATTATCTGAGAAATATATAGCAAAACTAAATTAATCGGTTATATCTAGGGATGCAAACATCGTGAAGTAGAACATCGATATTTTTTCACACCGATTGACTTTAGGGTAGATGTTTCAGAAATTGAACGGGCCTCCGGGATGAGTTAATTTCATACCAGAAAAGTTCATAATCCATTTCATGCTTCGCTTTTAGTATCATAATTCCTTCCGCTTTGTTCTCCTCCTTGCCCTTTTATATGTAATTAAGTTTGTCTGTACTTGTAACAGAAAAGTTAATGAGTAGCAATTCTAGAGAAATGAAGGCGCCATATACATACAAACATATGTACATGCAAACATTCATCCTATTGTATTTGTTAGAAAATTCAAAGTTTCTATTAAAATATACCTCAACTAATAATACTACAAAGGACGCAATGATGAACTCGAAAGGTATTCAATTTAGTGCCTTACGCTTGGTTTATTATGTTAGTTTGAAATATTAATTCAACTTGTTCTAGCTACATAAATAGGTACATAAAATGAAGTTTTGTAATAATTAATTAATAATTCGATGTCTTCTTGCTGGGTTTCGCAGCATTAGTAAAAAAACATATGTATATACACACAGAAACGGTTCTTTAATATGCAATTTTTTAAATGAACATATATTTATAATTTCATTGCAGTTTTATCAGCGACGATACAAGATACTTGAAAGAGAATGTTATGTTTTTCAATATGTCAAAGATTAAAATACATTTATGTGGTCTCTCTTCTACTACCCATGCTGAACGTAAGATGATTTTCTAATAATAATAATTAAGAGTATTAAAAGAACATTTTATATTTACGTTTCTATTTAAAATCACATTTCTATATTAATTCAATTGTAATTATATAGTATGTAAGTATATATCTATACTTATTTTGATATTTTATGGTTATCTTATTATCTTAGTACAACGGAGATTATGAATTCTTCCGTAGTAGTCAATCTAGCTAGTTATACTTCCTTATCCAACTTTCTATTCGGCTTGAAGTTGAGTTCTTACATTCATGCTTCGTTATTTGTAAGTTAAACAGTGTTAGATACATACATATATACGCAAGTGCAACTACAAAAGTGACTACGGTAGTTTAGCAACTCATTTTCTCCAACTGTATCGGAGGTTAGCCAATCTTCAATTAACGGAAGTAATATTGCGCATATCATATCGATTGCACTTCACTTATCAAGAATAGCATCTTCTGTTTACATGTTGAATCGTGGACGGAAAGCATGGAGTTAGGTCTTGGAGTATCTATCTGCGTACATCTACGCGCAGATAAATGCATTTGTTATACACAGTGAAACCCAGTAATGTGTCACAGCTTGAAGAAGAAATTGGAAATTCACGTTACGACTCCCTAAGGACGCAAATGATTTGCATTGTCATATAATTAAAATTTCAAACAATTTTGAGTAAAATAAATTTGTTAAGGAAACAATTGAAAATTATGCCCCTTAAAAATCAAACAAAAAATTATTCATTGCAGAGTTAAAATAAACCAAGCTAAACTGTACGTACATAATTTATCAAGAAATATTTGTACATATATGAATGCCAGCATATATCACAAGTATACAATGGAGTGAAATCAACTACTTTATATTACTTCAAAACAATGCACAAAGTAACTACATATACGCTCTTTCGGAGCAGACTGGTATTTATCCTAACTAGTTTCCATGTTTCATTATGAGGTACTACTTATGATTTGTTTTGTTGTGCATTGTTGGCTTTTAAAAAAATTAGCAATAAAGTCTTATAATTTAAGTGAGTAGCTATATATGTATGTTCATATGTGATATAAATAGGTACATATAAATAAGAATGCTAGTGTAACCATTATAATGTTGTTATGCTATTTTACTACTAACTTCAACTTCAGCACTGTGCAGATTTCATTCATTTATTCATATAATATCAGCACGTACCACCTACTGTAGTAGCATCTTTATATTTCGTAAAACTATTTTCAGTCGATGAGTACTGCTGCCGCTAACAAAGCAGTGCATATATTACACATTATATGTAATAATGTATCTGCATACTTAAGTACAAGTATGTATGTATTCAATGCAAAACATTGTGCTGGAATAATTATACTGAATTCATGTGGAATAAATAATGTATAAATTATGCGTATAGTACATAAGGATAAGTTAGAGGTCTATTATTTAATACGTTTTTTGACATCATCTAACCATAAGCAAATGTATTCCCAATCAAATCTTGAATAGAGGTATCGATCATATGGAATGATAACTGACAGTTGTTAAGAGTGCAATATGAACTAACATTCCTTCTATTAGTAAATGTATTGTGTTTATTGTATTTACATAGTCATCACTCCTGTCAGCAGTAACAATTGAGTCATCTACCGAGAAAACAACTGACGGCACAAGTATATCCACTTCCGTTATAAATCGAAGCAATAAATTAATAAGAAATCCAACCATTCCAAAAACTACAATAAGAGTTGATAATCATAGCAACAGAGATGACGAAAAAAATGGGGACCGTTCGAAGCAGTTACTTGTGGCATTGTCATCCAAATCATACATTAGTAAGCCAAATGCAACATCCCCTACACCGGCTAAACTTACAAAGCGTGCTGGCTCCGCTGCGGAGATAAAGCATAAAGTATTTCAATTTATTTACAAAAGAGTTTCACAATTTCTTACTTAATTTTTTGTTGTAAATTTAGAAAATAAGCAAAGAGAATTTAAATCGAACGGGAGATGTTGCAACACGAGGAAAACTCCGTCAAGAAGTAGTCAGTGAATTTGTGACTGTACTGTTACATATGTGTAAATGTATAATTTTATAATCATTCTTTTTAATGTAGGACCACATTCCAGACTCATCTGGACATATTCCATATCGGATAAGCCGCCCACATCTAGGACTGTCAGGATACGAATCCTCTGGAGTGAGCTCGAGTGCAAATGATGGCGGAGACGACTACCATAATTTATCCTTTGAGTCAGATAAGTGGCCAAGTGACTACTGGGAACGTGACTACAACAAGAATTTCCTTTATAACAATACTCGAGTACACCGTAAGTTTGCCCCTATAACTTTTATGTACATGTGCATGGACTATCTTAAGTTATTTGAGACAGATATTGAAGCGGAGTGTCAGGATGATTACATGAAAATTCGGATTGGATTTAATGCTACCTTTAATGGATTAATATATTCAGCTGGTTATGCATATGATCCAGATTGCATGTATATAAATGGTTCAGGTCGAGATTATTACGAGTTTTTTATTCAGTTGAATCGCTGTGGAACTTTAGGAAAAAATGCGCTTCATGAAGAAAAAAGAAAAAATCCAACTGTAATCACATTAAAAAAANATATACTTTTTATTCTCAAATTTGGTTTTGTTACAGAACTTTATGTGGAATACTGTGACAGTACAATACAATCCACTCATAGAAGAAGAATATGATGAACACTTTAAAGTCACCTGCGAATATGGCTATGATTTTTGGAAAACAGTAACCTTTCCATTTTTAGACGTAGAGTAAGTTCTAAAAAAAAATTTTCATATAGTATAAAAAATGATTTACATTTTATCTCAAATAGAGTAGCTACTGGTAACCCCGTCGTCTTTACTTTAAGTCCACCAGAGTGTTATATGGAAATACAAAATGGATATGGGATTGGAGGACCACGTGTCACTGGACCTGTCCGGGTTGGTGACCCGCTTACGTTGATAATTTACATGCGCAGCAAATACGGTTTGAATGATTATTACATATTTTATTTCAGCATATATTTAAACACAGAATCACAGAATTATAATAACACATTTTTTTAGATGGTTTCGATATTGTTGTAAACGATTGTTATGCCCATAACGGTGCTAACAAAAAGATTCAGCTTATTGATGAATACGGTTGCCCTGTGGATGATAAGCTAATTTCTAGATTTCGAGGCTCTTGGTCTGATTCGGGAATTTTCGAAACCCAAGTTTATGCATATATGAAAACTTTTCGCTTTACAGGCTCACCAGCACTATATATAGAATGTGATGTACGAATGTGTCACGGCCGATGTCCGGTAAGATCAACAGAAAACTGCTTTTTACATATATTTTATTAATATTATATTATATTTATACATTTTTCCATGTATAACTGACGAAATATATTTAAAATTTTCTAGAGTCAGCCATGTCACTGGCGCAATTCGAAAACGGTATCCAAACGTGATATATCGAATTCAACAACACTCAATTTACAATCAGCATTAGACTCAACTGCGTCTGAAGTAGATAAAACCAATTCATCACAAAATGCCGGAAATAGTTTAGAAGTTGATATAATGACTACTATATCGAACTCAGAGAAACAACCTGCTTCGTTATCGGAGAATTTGAATCTGTTTCAATCATTACGTGTACTCCAGGAGGGTGAGTCCGATGGAGATGGTGTTTACTCACATTCACGTCGGTTAGAACCTCTAGGAAATCAAACATGTATGAAAACGACTACATTATCAGCGTTAACAATAACGCTTTCTGTAGCTATGTGTATACTCTCGGGCACATTAGTAGTAACTTGCTCTAGGTTAAAGAGACGCAGCAAAGATGCATCTTTGTATGAAACATACATTACTCACAAAGGACAAATTGATTAATGACTGTTAAGTAAATATGTAAATAAATTTTTTTTTCCTTAACATGACCATGTCTACTAATTTCATTTTTGAATATGGATGTCTTTGTTGAAACATAGAATGTTTATGAATAAAATTAGTTCAGACAAAACGTTGAAAAAATCGACAAACATACATACATACGAGCACGCATACATATTAACGCCGAATTATTCGCATCGTCGCGAAATTGACAATATTTATTTAAATCGACAATCTCGCAACAATGTCGGCTATGTTGACACTTTTGTTCACTTTGCAGTATTTTGTTGTTGAAAATTGACTTATGCTCTTTTGAAGTACTACCAGCAGAGAACGTAAATGAATAGAGAAGGAGCAAATGTTAAATCAAAAATTTGAATAATATTGAAGAATCAGCAAAAGTCATAATGCATTAGTATTTTTCAATACAAATTAAGCAACATATTAATATATTATATTATGTGCCCTCACTTGACACGCCTCTGTGCATGGCATTGTATAAATCTACAAGTAACCAATCCTAAGATTTTCACTAATACACACGCAAAAATATCCCACTTGGTACGGGTTGCCTCGAAAATTCTACTACTAAAATCACACTTGGTACGGGTTGCCAACCAATATTCTGCCACTAAAGTCACACTTTGTACGGGTTGCCAACCAATAATCTACTACAAAAACGTCCAAATGACAGAAATATGCTATAGTGTGTTGCCGTGTTATGTTTTAAAATTTATAATTTTAAGAATGTTTTTGTTCCATATTCAAACATTTTTCGGTTGTTTTAATTCCTATAGATTAAATTTACATAGTATTATTTAAATTATTATTTATTGTATTGAAATATTATTAAATATTTCCAATTTTATCATTTTAAACTTACATGTTTATGTTTTTGTGAGTGAAAATACTTTGTCTGTTGAATATTTAAATTCTTAGTTTACCGGTTTAGTCCTGGGGAACCGAACACCCAAAATAGATAGTAACGCGCCTATATTGCAACCTAAGAGGTGGTGAGTAAAAGCAATTAATTTATAATAATCTTTTGTTTCGAAAATATTCTTGAAAGTTTTCATTATTATTTCCATAACAAATACATGTTCATTGTTAAACTACATCCTTTTATTTAAAACTCTGTGTCAAAAAAAAGGCATATTCGATCAGGTGATCACGGCTGTTTCACACACATAGGAAAACAGCTGATTCTTTGGCTACTTGCCACATAATTATTTCATATATATATTTTATTTATCGAATTTAGTTTAAAAACGGTTATAGGTATGAATTTATGTTTATTTATATATATATATATATATATAATATATATTATATTACGAAAATAATTCATAAATGCATCAGTATTTTTCAATTCAAATTAAGCAACATAATAACATACTACGAGCCCTCAGTTGAAACGCCTTTGTGTATGGTGGCAAGCCAACGAAATAACGGCGAGTTCGCGCGGACATTATGTTGTTGAAAAAAACCAAATGACGACTTTGTCCACAAACATACATATGTACATACATACATACATACATATATGAGATCGCATACATATTGACACCAAATTGTGTGAATCGTCACGGAGTGGACAAAATTTGTTTGAATCGACAATGCGACAATGTCGGTCGGCTATGTTGTCTCGTTTGTCCTTTGCAATGGTTTGCTATTGAAAGTTGACTTATGCTCTTTTGAAATATTACGATTACCGATTGGGCTGCATTTTCATAGCGTCGTATTTAGATAAAATGGGCTAAATCGACAAACTATGAAATAATGATAATAAGTAAACATATAAAAGTACTATATGGAGTGTGCTTAGAGTATATAGAAATAGTTAATGATTTCATATACATGTAAATTTTATATAAATTTTATAATTTAATGCCATATATAGTGCATAATATGAAAAAATTAAAATATTATTTTAACTCGCTAATAGGTCATGTTGCCAATTCTCTTTTCTGAAGGGAACATCAGACAAATTCTTCAATTTCTGATTTTTAGCAAATGTTGTGAGGAAGCAGCTTGTGGGCATTGTATAAGCCTACAATATTAATAACCAAAATTTAAAATATTTATAAATAATTATTTAGGCGTTTTCTGCTATGCGGAAACCGTTTTAGCCCCTCGCCCTAACTTAACATAGCCACCATGTGGGTTTTATTGTGAACGTAAACCTCAGAGGTGGCGAAACTATTGAGAATGAAACTTTCGCTACTCCCTTATACCATGTTTTTTATACTCTTTTTAATTTTTATAACCCTTTTTTATAAAATGATATTTTAATTCTATTTTAATTTTATTTCCCTCATTCCTTATATTTTTTTTCATAAGTCAATTATTTTCCTTTTTATTATATTAAGTTTTGTTTATGCGCATATCAAAGAACATCTGTGCATATGTATGTATATACATTTTGCTTATATAGTGGTGTAATTCGTTGCGTAAATTGACAGGTGTGGTGACATTTTATTTTCGAACTTGCGCGTTTTCGATGTTACGTTCTCTGGTCGAACTGGCTATAGTTCTCAAACGGATTCTATTGTTGAACACATAAGAGCAGTGTACTTACACTACATTATAGGACAGTACGCATCCTTCCTAAAATATTATTGAGGTTTGAATAGGTGTCTAGAGTAGGCAGAATGGACAGATAAAGGCAAACTCATTGCTAAGGTAAAGTAAAAATAATAAAGTTTCGACAATAATAACCATATCGTCAACACAATTTAAAAAAGTGTGATAAATAACATAAGCAAATTAGGAGGGCGGGTAAGGGGGAAATAAATACATATATGTAAATACCCTTAAACGATGCAATTTGTTTGACCCACCTAGCTTATATACTCCGGCCGCTAGAGGTCGCAGAAGGGTGGAAAAACACCTGTGTGCAGGGCAAAATGACTCATGGTGCATTCTATAGGATTCCCACGCTCCTGGTGGTGGTAGGCGGGTGGTTGATGGTGATAATGGAAGCCCCGAGTGTCCTCTAGGTGATCCACTTGGTTTCATCCCCCGCTCATATACCCCTTAACAGGAAACACAAAAAGGTAAAAAGTAGAAATTTTGAAATTTTCACTTTTTTGTTGATTGCCACTCACCTGTTCAACCTATATCTGAGATTGATGTCTCTAATTAACGTGCACCTGTGCGGCTACATGAATCAAATAGTTTGCGCCATCTTAGATCACCCTGTTTAGGCGCTAATGGCCGCAAAAGGGTGACACGTTAAATTCCAAAGTGTTTTTTGGTGAATTGCCACGCCCCTATTGGTGGTAGGCGGGTGATTGATGATGCAAATGGAAGCCCTGAGTGTCCTCTAAACGATGCAATTTGTTTGACCCACCTAGCTTATATACTCCGGCCGCTAGAGGTCGCAGAAGGGTGAAAAAACACTGTGTGCAGGGCAAAATGACTCATGGTGCATTCTATAGGATTCCCACGCTCCTGGTGGTGGTAGGCGGGTGGTTGATGGTGATAATGGAAGCCCCGAGTGTCCTCTAGGTGATCCACTTGGTTTCATCCCCCGCTCATATACCCCTTAACAGGAAACACAAAAGGTAAAAGTAGAAATTTTGAAATTTTCACTTTTTTGTTGATTGCCACTCACCTGTTCAACCTATATCTGAGATTGATGTCTCTAATTAACGTGCACCTGTGCGGCTACATGAATCAAATAGTTTGCGCCATCTTAGATCACCCTGTTTAGGCGCTAATGGCCGCAAAAGGGTGACACGTTAAATTCAAAGTGTTTTTTGGTGAATTGCCACGCCCCTATTGGTGGTAGGCGGGTGATTGATGATGCAAATGGAAGCCCTGAGTGTCCTCTAAACGATGCAATTTGTTTGACCCACCTAGCTTATATACTCCGGCCGCTAGAGGTCGCAGAAGGGTGGAAAAACACCTGTGTGCAGGGCAAAATGACTCATGGTGCATTCTATAGGATTCCCACGCTCCTGGTGGTGGTAGGCGGGTGGTTGATGGTGATAATGGAAGCCCGAGTGTCCTCTAGGTGATCCACTTGGTTTCATCCCCCGCTCATATACCCCTTAACAGGAAACACAAAAAGGTAAAAAGTAGAAATTTTGAAATTTTCACTTTTGTTGATTGCCACTCACCTGTTCAACCTATATCTGAGATTGATGTCTCTAATTAACGTGCACCTGTGCGGCTACATGAATCAAATAGTTTGCGCCATCTTAGATCACCCTGTTTAGGCGCTAATGGCCGTAAAAGGGTGACACGTTAAATTCCAAAGTGTTTTTGGTGAATTGCCACGCCCTATTGGTGGTAGGCGGTGATTGATGATGCAAATGGAAGCCCTGAGTGTCCTCTAAACGATGCAATTTGTTTGACCCACCTAGCTTATATACTCCGGCCGCTAGAGGTCGCAGAAGGGTGGAAAACACCTGTGTGCAGGGCAAATGACTCATGGTGCATTCTATAGATTCCCACCTCCTGGTGGTGGTAGGCGGGTGGTTGATGGTGATAATGGAAGCCCCGAGTGTCCTCTAGGTGATCCACTTGGTTTCATCCCCCGCTCATATACCCTTAACAGGAAACACAAAAAGGTAAAAGTAGAAATTTTGAAATTTTCACTTTTGTTGATTGCCACTCACCTGTTAAACCTATATCTGAGATTGATGTCTCTAATTAACGTGCACCTGTGCGGCTACATGAATCAAATAGTTTGCGCCATCTTAGATCACCCTGTTTAGGCGCTAATGGCCGTAAAGGGTGACACGTTAAATTCAAAGTGTTTTTGGTGAATTGCCACGCCCCTATTGGTGGTAGGCGGGTGATTGATGATGCAAAGGAAGCCCTGAGTGTCCTCTAAACGATGCAATTTGTTTGACCCACCTAGCTTATATACTCCGGCCGCTAGAGGTCGCAGAAGGGTGGAAAAACACCTGTGTGCAGGGCAAAATGACTCATGGTGCATTCTATAGGATTCCACGCTCCTGGTGGTGGTAGGCGGGTGGTTGATGGTGATAATGGAAGCCCGAGTGTCCTCTAGGTGATCCACTTGGTTTCAT